CCTCATAATGTTGCCGAGACTTATATAGTAATTTATACAATACAGCAAAGTTGTGTAAAAGGGAAGAAACTTAAACGGGAAATCTGTTTTTCTGCTGGAGGGTCCTAAATCATTCAGCCCCTAGATTCTGGGTTTAGCCAGCACAGTTCCTGATATAAATATTTGTTGAATGTATATGTGAATTTAAGCCAGGAATTGCAAATTACTCTTAGGGATCAGGAGATAATAGTGGTGGGGACAGTAGCAAACTGGAGAGCACATGCCCTACCCAAAGGCAATTGCATTTCAAAATTTTAAAAACACTGGGCCAGACAAAACCCTCAGGTTAGTTTACCTCCACAGTTCAAGTTCTTCTTCTCATGGATCAGAAGGTGTCTTTGGTCAAGTCACAAAGCTGTTGGTAGCAGAACTGCAACTGAAACTCGGATCTGTTTGTTTTCAGGTAGGTGCTCTTTCCATTCTACCACACAGATGATGTACTATTAGATTAGAAAATAGTGGATTTTTCTAATTCCAGTGGATTTATTTCATATCCCTTGCTATGTTGTTATCTTGATAATTATAGGCTATGTCAAAGCTCAGGTTTACAATTTATAGGCAGGGATGAATGGTGAAAGACAAACTTGAAATTTCTCTTCCCCCTAATCTGTCATATTCTCTAGCATTCCACATTTCTAAGAATCAATTATTAATTACTTGGCATATAATTTCTTTTCTTTCTGTCTTTCTAGTGTACTGGTTCCTCCTGTCGGGAAGGCCATGGAGAAGAGGCTGGGAGTCAAGCCAAGTCCTGCTTCCTGGATTTTATCAGAGTATTGTTGGCAGACATCAGTGAAGTGGTTGAGAAGCCTGTACCTGTTTTATACTTGCTTCTGCTTCAGTACTCTGTGGTTGTCAACAGGTACCATTTTCTTTATAGATTTAAGATTAATAAAGGGCACTTTGTATGAGTCCCTCAGTTCATTTTAAAGATTATTAAGATGTAGAAAAGTGATCTGCTAATTAACAGAAAAGGTCCTTCTTTTGGTGGATACTTATTTTGTTGGGCTTATTTGTTTTCTTTTGGAACCAATATTTAAATTGGATTCTTTCTCGTAACGGAGAATTGGAACAATAATTTTGAGATTTGATAAAGATGTATTGAAAAGAAAGAGGTTTCAGAGGTGGACAGATCTGGTTCCTGAAGCTGGATATTTCCACTTAATGACGATAAAACCTTGGGCAGGTTACCTAATGTCTTTGAAGAAGGATAAGATCTACCTCATAGTTTGATTTGAGAGATGATATAATTAAAGCATGTGGTACAGCACTTTGAACAATGGTGTTTAGAAAATGATAATAAATTTAAATAATAATAATAATAATAAATTTAAATGATAAAATTTACTTCCTTTCCTTTCCTAAGCAAATCTACGCTTACAGAGAAAATGTGTTCCTTTTTCCATAGAAAGGGGCTATGTTGATAGATTTTATACAATATGCTTCCCTCCTAGAGATTATTTCACCAGGATAGAGTCTCTTGCCAGGAATCAGTGCCAAGAATGCTAAATTTCAAAGGAGAATACCCTTTCTTTCTTTCTTTTTTTCTTTCAGTCCTTTTGTTGATATTGTTCCTTTCAGAGTATGGAGTATGAAAAAATAGCAATTTGAGAAAGACTTCAGAGTATGCTACCATTCTGCACAATGACCCAAAGCCTTCTGCTATAGACATCACTGTCTGGGATAACTAATTAGACTTTTGTTCTTATAATTACAAATATTTCTGTTACTTTCCTAAAGGAATTTGTGGCCATGATCTTGAGAAATAAGTAATTACCGTATTTAGCAATTTTAGTAACATCAGCTTTGGGGTTTGGGGTTTTTGTTGTCTTGCGGTGTTGGCTGATGATTGCATAATTATAGTGGTAGAAATTGCAGTTGACAGAAAGCTGACCTAAATGTTTTTTCACCCGAGATGATGCTTTGCTGTGACAGCTGTCAGGCCAACATTTTATGTGAGATCATTCAAATTAAATAACTGATTTAGCACCATCAGAATAGGAAAATTGTATTTTTTGAAGTGCACCTACCCACACACCAGACTCCTGATTATAAACATCACATATGAGGGTATTTCAAAAAGTTCATGGAAAAATGGAATTAAAAAGATAATACAAATCATAGGGCCGGCCCGTGGCTCACTTGGGAGAGTGTGGTGCTGATAGCACCAAGGCTGCAGGTTCTGATCCCTATATAGGGATGGCCGGTTAGCTCACTTGGGAGAGCGTGATGCTGACAACACCAAGTCAAGGGTTGAGATCCCCTTACTGGTCATCCTTAAGAAAAAAGAAATAAGGGCCGGCCCGGTGGCGCACTGCTATAGTGCGCTGCTTGGGAAGCGCGGCGGCGCGCCCACCCAGGGGTCGGAGCCCACATACAGACCGGTTCCCGCTCACTGGCTGAGCGAGGCGTGGGAGCGACACCGAGGGCTGCGATCCCGTTGCCAGTCCCGGTCCGGTACGGGGGCGACTCTGAGGGTTGCGATCCATTGCTGGACACGGAAAAAGACAAAAAAAAAAGAAAAAAGAAAGAAAACGATGATACAAATCTTTCTGTGAACTTTTTGAAGATCTCTCCTATCTTATCATTTAATTCGTGATAACCTTAAAACAGTAGTCTTGTTCTGATTTTATAGAAAAGGAAACAAGGCCCAGCAGAGGCAAAATGACTTGAGCAAGGTCGCACAGTAAGAACATGACAGAGCCAGGATTTTAAACTCATGTTTGTCTACTGTAGAGCTCATGCTCTATTTCTTCTGCTAGTCAGCCTTCCAACCACAGATGGTCTTTTGGAGGACCAAAGACAAATCTAGCACTTGGTTAAACATGTTGGCTCATTGGGCAAGTCTTTAGTACCCCTTGAACCTGGTGCTTAAAAACAGCACCCCAAGGAGCAGACTGAGTATAAAGGAAAGGTGGTATTGTTAGGAGTGGTTCTGGTGGGGATTAGATTGTACCAGTTCCACTTTAGGAAAGTTTGGAGCTTTACCATGGAAATGAAAGATTGAGAGCCATATATGTTCAAACTGAGGGAATGTACAAGCAACACATGACAGACATATTGTTATATATGTTGATTTATTGGTCTCTTTCACTTCAGTTTTTTATTTTATTTTATTTTATTTTTTCCTTTTTGTCTTTTTCCGTGTCCGGCAACGGATCGCAACCCTCAGTGTCGCCCCCGTACCGGACCGGGACCAGCAACGGGATCGCAACCCTCGGTGTTGCTCCCGTGCCTCGCTCAGCCAGTGAGCGGGAACCGGTCTGTATGTGGGATCCGAACCCTCGGCGGGAGCGCCGCCGCGCTTCCCAAGCGGCGCACTACAGCAGTGCGCCACCGGGCCGGCCCAACACTTCAGTTTTTTTAAAAAAGAACTCTTTGGCATTAATTTCAAGAGCCCTAAAAAAGTTCATATCCTTTGACTTCATTCCCCATTTAAGAATATCTCAAGGATACATTTAGGTAGTGGTGAATAAGAGTACTTATCAACACTCATTTATTCTGTGCTGCAAAACATTGCTGTAACCTGCCTAACAGTAGGAGGGTGGTGACATTTTTGCATATCCACATGGTAGAATGCTATCCAATCTCAAATTTCATATTTTAGAAGAAGAAGTACATGTGAAAGTGCTCCTACTCTTAAATGAGAAAAGCAAGCTACACAACTGCATATTCACTATGGTGCCAATTTTGTGAAAAGAAAAAAAATTTTATATAATAGAAAACACTTGTGGGAGTGTGGTGCTGATAACACCAAGGTTAAGGGTTTGGATCCCTGTGTTGGCCAGCTGTAAAAACCAAAAACAACAGCAACAAAAAAGAAAATAATCTGCAACAAGATACAGGTTGAGTGCAACAAAGTATAGGTTGCGCATCCCTAATCTGAAAACCCAAGATCTGAAATGCTTCAAAATCCAAAACACTTTGAGCACCAACATGATGGCCAAAGGAAATGCTCATTGTAACATTTCAGAGTTTGGATTTTCAGATTAGGGATGATGAACTGGTAAGTATATAACTCATATATTCCAAAATCTGAAAAAAATCTGAAATCTGAAACACTTCTGGTCCCAAGCATTTTGAATAAGGAATACTCAATCTGTATATAACTAAATGTTTATATGTATTTTTGAGTAATGGAATTATTATTTCTTTATACTTTTCTGTGTTTTCCAGATTTTTTTTCCAGTATATTTGTTTAACTTTTTTTTTATAAGGGGGAAAATAACCTACCGAAAAGCAGCAACAAAATAATAGCATAAACCTATTTGGTGGTAGCCTGAGTCAGTATATATCTACTTGTGAGTTTATCCAGTTTTTACCCAAGCTCTGTAGTTTTACTCTTTTGAAATACATTTTTGATTGTTTGCTGTTATCATTTAGCTCATGGATTATATGGATTATTTCTGAAAAACTAACCAAAATAAAGCAGTTTTCCAGTTGTCTTCCTTTCTTGGTTACTACTTAGTAGTCTACTCTATCTTTGGTAGGCTCCAGGCACCCAGTGACTTACACATAGTAGGCTTCTCTTATATTTCTGCTTTTGGGTTCAGTGCTGAAGCCCACTGCTACAAAGCAGTGATTATAATTTCTCTGATAAAAGATGCTCTGTATTTTCCTTGTGGGCTATTGAATTGCTGTTTTTCTGTTTAATTTTACTGTTAAGTAATTTCAAAAATAGTTACTGGACCTGGAGACCAATATAAGGCGACCCCATGAATTTTCCTGCAGTAGATTGTTTAGCTTCTTGAGAGCAGGGATCTTGCCTCTTTTACTTATTCCAGGTATTCCTAGCAAGTACCAAGGGTTTGACAAATAGTAGGTGTACCATAAAAATATTTGTTGCCTGAATAAATTAGCAATAAGAGACTTAGTTGTCCTTTGAGAATTAAACTATTTATTTTTGTATAAAACATTTAATTTATTGGTATTTTGGGGTAATTTGATGCATCACAACTGTATTACAACTGAGCCATTAATCTTGTAGCTTCATCAACATTAACTGGTTCATTTCCATGATGTTACTGAGGAAGCAGCTCGTTCTACAGAGGTTCAAGAGAAAGACCTTTTGAGAAGTGTGCAAATTCCTTTTGTATATTTACAAAAGCTTTATTCACTGTGCTAACTTTTTCATTATTCACAATGTTAATCTTCGTAAGATTAGTGGTAACTGGTTTTGCTTTGTTTTTAGCCTTAAAATTTTTTTGGCTGGCTATTTGAAATACGTTTCTGGACTTCTGCCCTCTTATTTTGTTCTTGGCCATTGTCAGACCTTACTCAAGCTCCAGATAACGCCATCTGCACCTACATATTTATTTGTTTGTTTATTTATTTATGTTTGTTTGTTTGTTATTTTTTGGCAGCTGGCCAGTACAGGGGTCCAAACACTTGACCTTGGTGTTGTCAGCACCATGCTCTCCCAAGTGAGCTAACTTGCCAGTCCTAAGAGAAATTGTAAAATCAAAACAATCAAAGCAAAGATATATAAAGGCACCTTAAGGAGACATAATGCCTTTGAGATCAGCAAGATTTGACTAAAATCTTAACAAATATATTAATATATCTAAAGAAAGGATGTGTACATCTGAAGAATTTGTGTGCATGTTTGTGGGGGATGCAAGGACCTAACTGGCCTTGGAAATCTAAGATAAAGAGAGTCCTTGAGGTTAACTTAGGCCTAAAGGTAGCAGGTGGCTATGAAAACTTTTATTGACATTCCCCTGCTTCTGGAAAGGACATTATACAGTTAATAAGTATTTTGAGTACAGAGAAAAAGTATTCAATTCAGAACCATTTTTTGAGAACTTGCAGGGAGTCTGGTCCTAGGTAGGCACTAGGGTAATAAAAATGAGTACAACAAAATGCCTGCCCTGGAAGAACTTTCAGTTTGATGGGAGAAATAGATGTATACATCCTATGATGTGGTAAGTAAAAAGGTAGAGGAATACCATGCATGGGGTGTTCCTGGAACTAGAGAAGAAGCCTTTAGCTTAGAGGGGGAGATACAAAGATTTCTTTCTATAGAGGCTGATACCTGAACAGAGTTTTGAAGGTTGAATTTGAAGGATTCACAGAGTATTCCCAGGCAGTGGGACTGCAAGAACAGAGGCACAAAAGTATGAAACAGCCTGGTATATAGAAGAAACTCTATAAGCAGTTTAGCGCTGATAGGGTATAAAGAGCAAAGCTAAAATGGCAGCTCCTGAAGAGGTAGGTGGTAGCCAGGTCACAAAGGATCTTGTATGCCATGCTAAGAAGCTTCAATTATAAAGCCACCAGTGCCCCTCCTGTGATAACCCATTTATCCATTAGCCCGTTACTCCTTGAATGGATTAATCCATTCATGAGGGCATAGTTTTCATGATCCAGTCACCTCCCAAAGGCCCTACTTCTCAACACTACCACATTGCAGATCAAGCTTCCATATGAACTTTGAAGTGGACGAACATTCAGGCCATAGCACCAATATATATTTATTTATACATTATAACAAGTAACATGGTACTAATATCTTATATATATGAATTTCGAAAAACAAAATTTTAGAGGGATCAACTAAAGAACATATAAGAAGAGTTTTAATATTTACAGTTGTTAATGGCAGGATAGCGAGTGTGGTAGCTGCTGCTCTGAAATGGCTGAGAGCAGAAGTCTACTGTGATCACTTGTTTATGGTCTGTCTGCTCCATGAAACTGTGTTACTCACAGTTAATCCCTAGCATTTAGCACATAGTAGGCAGCAATAAAAGTTTGCTGGATGGGCCGGCCTGGTGGCGCACTGGAGAGTGCGCTGCTTGGGAGCGGGGCGGCGCTTCCGCTGAGGGTTTGGATCCCCTGTGGAGACCGGTTCCCGCTCACTGGCTGAGCGCGGTGCGGGCGCAACACTGAGGGTTGCGATCCCGTTGCCGGTCCCCGGTACGGGCGCGACACCGAGGGTTGCGATCTCGTTACCGGTCAGTAAGAAAGACAAAAAGGAAAAAAAAAAAGTTTGCTGGATGACCCTAAAGATAATGTTGGAAATCACTGTCTTGGAATATACATGTAAGGGAGAATTATTCTTTCCTGCTCTGTTTTTCAATCTTGGTCCCTTAAGTGGGTACTTCACTTCCCAGAAGGGAACAGTATTTAGAAGGTAACTTTCAGGCCGGCCCGGTGGTGCACTCGGTAGAGTGCGGCACTTGGGAGTGCGGTGGCGCTCCCGCCGAGGGTTCGGATCCCATATAAAGACCGGTCCGCTCACTGGTTGAGCACGGTGCGGGTGCGACACCGAGCGTTGCGATCCCGTTGCCAGTCACAGTCCGGGCGCGACACTGAGGGTTGCGATCCCGTTGCTGGTTGCGGGCGCGACACGGAGGGTTGCGATCCCGTTACCGGTCACGAAAAAAGACAAAAAGGAAAAAAAAAAAAAAAGAAGGTAACTTTCACTCTTTTCTCCGCCTTTCATCTAAATCACTCTGTGAGTGTCAAAGTGATTTTTCCGATTGATAGAAAAGAATTCTATTATGTGGAATGGTCAGTCTGCAGGATTTGCATGTATTCTGTTCCTGCCATGCTCTGGCTGGTCTGTCCATGTCTGGACAGCCTGTATTTGTACAATCAGGTAAATTTAATTCAGTATAGGAAAGGCCCTTTGTGATTATACATCTCAGCCGTGTTCTCCAGTCACCCTTATCACTGATTATAACTATGATGTTTTGATCTCTATCTCTCCCTAACTGCCATGTTTTATATTTTAATTATTCCCACACTTTGGATGGGAGAGATTAATTATCACCATCATCCCCCACAGAGACTACAAATGGGACAAAGACAGTTCCTGCCTTAGCAAGATGTCTCTTCCCCACTAGCTGCCATTCTCTTTTTGTTCTCATACCCGCTTTCATTCATGAACCCAGGTAAGTGTCCCTGGCAGACTGGAGGCACCTATGGGCCCTTTCTCAGTTTCTTCCTTTGTCCTTACTGTTTGGTTGTACTTTGAGGGCTGTCGCCCCTGTTGTACCAATCAGACCAAGTGGTGTCTTTTTCCTTAAGAAAATGATATTTTTTGGACATGCATTGGTTTTATCTTCAGGGGAAAAGCTTTTTCAGGAGACTTTTTGGGTGGCATTCTATCCCTGCTCTTCTTGTATCTGTTGGGCACCTAATTTGAGGTAGATGACTAATGGAATATATCTTACAGCAATGAGCCTTCAGCAGGAACTTTGTTCTGCCAAACTGTCTTATATTCTTAACTACACTGCATTACAGGAAGATAATAAATTATTAATCCTAAATCTGTCTCCTCAGATTGTAGGATAACGACTTGAGTACATGGCAGCTGGGCGAAGGTAAAGTTTTCTGGCTGTTAACACAAATCATGCACGCTTTTTGGTTCTAAAATTCAGGTAGCATTGAGCAAGTCTATGGTATTTTGTTATATCACAATTTAATTGACATGAGAAAGACTGATCGAAATCCCCTGAAGTTAGCCTTTCTCCCAATGAAATGAAATAGTTCTCATTAGTTTAAACACTCTTCAGTAAAAGATAATTATCTTCTTTTTCTTTATCTTGAAAAATGTAATTTTGTGGGTTCTTTTTGCCCTTTAGAAAAACTATGCCGGCTGGCCAGTTAGCTCAGTTGGTTAGAGCACAGTGCTGATAACACCAAGGTCCAGGGTTTGATCCCTGTTGTGGCAGCTGCCAAAAAAAGAAAAAAAGAAAAACTATTCAAACATAAACTTACTTCCTAACTTCTGTGACAAACTAAAGAGGGATGAGAAAATGGCATAATTGGACAGCAAATCCAACTCAATTTAAAAGCTGTCTTAAATTGACTCTCCTCAGGAATTCCTCAAGGGAGGAAATAATAAGACAGCAGAGGAGTTTATAAAAACAAAATAACAATTACAGAGCCAAAGCATAGCCTTTTGGCTCATTTTGGAGATTTTATAAAAATCTCAGTAATTGGAACAGCTTCTAATTCAATGCATTGTGTGGAATTGGCAAGAACATGGTCAAAAACTGTGTGCTTAGTGTTTGGACATCTGTTGTCCAGTGAACAGTATTGAAAAGGTTGGGTTCAAATGGATAACTCTTGGTTTTAGGGTCTGCCTTTTGAACTTTTGTTCTGATCCTTAATCCAAGAGCTTTCATAAAAAAGGTCAGCCTATGTGGTTAGGATCCTATAGCCACTTTTGATTCCAGACAGTACTGGATACGTTTGAGAGAGAAGTTATAAGAATTGGTTTTGACCACCTGACTGTTCATCATTTGAGCAAGAGTTAGGAGACAAAGTGGCTAAGAGCATGGAGCATGGACTTGGGAGTCGGGCAAGCCTGACTCTGAGTTCTGATTTTATTAAGTACTGGAGGATGTTACTGAAGCCCACCTTTCATCAGGTTGTTCATCTATAAAATGGTAATGATAATACCTCTCATAGGATTGTTGTGAGAATTAAATAAAATATTCATGTGAAGTGCTGAGCCTACTCCCAGGTACATAACTAAAATTCAGCAAATGTTAGCCATGGTTATTATACTATGATAACATAATGTCCAGGTTGGTTAAATTCTTGTCTAACCCCAGGATGACCCAGCGGACAGCAGGTTTGAGTTCTCTGCTGGCTTCTTAAACCTCTGTCCAGTGAGATCTCAGTCCCTACATTAGTAAGTATAATTTAGGCAGCTGGCCTTTCTGCATTGTCAGGGAAAGTAGGCCTCCATTCATATAGCTTTATAGGCTTGAGGTTGATTGAAGCCCAGGATAGAGTGAACTGAATGGTGCGTTTTCCATGATCTGTAACATGTCACTAAAGAGCATGAGGGGCCACTTGTTTCCTCCTCTAGCTAAGGAAAATTTTCCTCTGGAAGAGGACTCTGTTGTGCTGCCATGACACCACCTTGCCCTCTGCCCTAGTTCACTTCCTCCAACACTGATGATGTGCCCACACTTTGCAAAGCCTTGTGTCAAGCCAGGTTGGCTGTGTCTTTTGATCAGGTCGGTATTTTGATTGGGGCTGATTGAGTGGCACTTTTGGATTCTATGTCAGAATAGCTTGCAGAGTTATTCTCTTCCTTCCTTCAGTACATATTTATTGGATACCTGCTATCCTAGGCATTAGAAATACAGTGGTGAGCAAGACAGATATGGTCTCTGCCCCCATGGAGCTTACCATCTATTGATACCTTTTCCATTCTTGGGGAACAGAAATTCTCTTTGAGAGGGATGATGTTACCGGTATCAAGATTTCCTCCAAAGAGTCTGAAGCCTCCCTAGGGTTCCAA